GACAAGGCAGCAGCTCCCAAAGACCTATTAGATCCCACAGACTAGGCCTCCTCCGAATTCCATCTGCTGGCCAATATCGGCTGGCGACCCCTCGGGGGAGGACCTTCTCTGTGGCTGCTCCGGAACGATCTCCCCATGGAGATCCGGACCCTTACTACCCTTCCGGCCTTCCGCAAAGCGGTTAAAACCTGGCTGTTCCGGCAGGCCTGGGGCTGTTGAACTATCCAGACCCATCCAAGGTTACGGCTGTTGCAGAATTTTAAATTGTTGTTTTTATTTTATTTTTTGTATCCCCTCCCTTTTTATTGTGAGCCGCCCTGAGTCTCTCGGGAATAGGGCGGCATACAAACTCAATAAATTCAATTCAATTCAATTCATACTTGTATCTCAACACTGGACAAAACTATCCCAATCACAGCTTTGCATTGTGATGATATGACATATGTTTTGTTACTTTCCCTCTGTTGCCGATGCAAAAAAATTGATGGAAACTTGAAGGCAAGTGAGGATGTATCCTGTTTCCCTGAAAATAAGACCTCCCTGGATAATAAGACCAATCGGGATTTTGAGCACATGCGTTAAAATAAGCCCTCCCCTGAAAATAAGCCCTCCCTGAAAATATTGCAACCCAGCAGCAGCCATGAGGTTACCACACTCACCGCCTCCTGCACCTCAAAAATAATAAGACCTCTCCAAAAATAATGCCAAGTGCTTATTTCAGGAGTCAAAAGAACACAGTAGGTTTAATTATAAATGTGTTCAAAGGTTGATGCTATGGCAGGGGACTGTTACTAATCTTTAGGTAGTGCACCGATTGTAGCCCTACCTATAGCAAGAGACACTGGTGCAGTAACATACATTATTGCTCTTGTACTCATAGGAACCACTTCAGTGTGCTAAATATGAGGTTGCCTTTGAAGATTAAAGCTCAATTTGTGCAAAATATAATAACATGAATATTGACAGGTGAAAGTCATTACATGCTCTATAACACTTGTGCTACAAATGTAAGAACTTGTCTTAATGCCCTATACTGTATGCCTTAAGATATTTAAGGACTGCATTTTCCAGCGAGAACCTACCATTTTTAATCCATGTGGCAAAGCTTAAGATACTTTATTTTGTCAAGTGAGATGCATGGAGGCTCAGGAATCTCCCCGAGCCCTTTCATAGGCATTTTGGATCTAACAACTTGTATTGTTGTACATTATCATAGTTGCTTTTCTATTATATTTTTCTAGCATAATATTTTATTATGCTACTTAGCTGTTTCGTTGTGTTGATTTTGAGCAAACTGCACCATGTTGATTGAAAATAAGCATTTTACAAGATAAATAAACAAGTAACTTTTGGCTCTCTGATACATATTCCTATCAAAAAGCAGGCTAACCAACCAGCAATATAAGGATAGCCTGAAAGATACACGTTTATAGAAATATCCTTGTGTATATGGATTTTCTGTACGAGATTTATTTATTTTTGCATTGGTATATCTAATTAATGTACTGTCTTAGAACCATGCTTTTTACTATTTAAAGGAATACTTAGGAATCATTTAGGAAGAACTTTATGGTTTAGTTCATGCATTTTTGTACCATATTCTTATTTGTTTGGTTGTAAATGAACAAAACCAATTGTAGCTTAGATAGACCATGTCAAGGGCTGGGTAAAAACACTGCATAGTGTTTTGCATGAATGTAAATCAGAAAAGGGAAATTTATGACTTTCCAGAGAATAGCAGCCTGCAACTCCCATAATCTTTTATTTTTGGACAAGATGAAGAAGAGTTCAGCAGAGCTTCTATTCTCCAATGTATATCCCAGAATTCCATGACTAAAAAAACCTGCATGGGGTTTTTTTTTCTAGTCAATACTTTTACCTTCCCTCCTGACCAGAGAAAAAGTGGGTTGGAAGAATGTTTTTAAAAATGCTGAATATCAGATTTGTCCTCTTTTAGCATTGTAAGAAATTTGGGAGTTCTCTGACTCATAAGAGTTGGCATATTCTTTTATGACTCTTTCTTGGTTATTATGTATGTTAATACAACCCTCGGGAAAAACATAGCAATAAAAGATGTATATGTGATGTCAAATTATATTCCAACAATATGGAAGTTAATATTTTATGATGAACTGTGGCTCTATCAACCCTGGGATTAGGAAAACAAAATTATCCTGCTTTGTTAGAATGAAATCTGCACTCCAGATGTTAAACAAAGAACTAAATAAGTTCACATCAAGTTTTGAAATGCCTTTAGATAGTATTGTCTTTAGAAAATGAAATAATATGGTTAATGTGGTCTAGATTTAATACTATTAAAGAGCTGAACTAGTTTAAAATTACACGGATCTTGTTTTGAAGTTTTAGTTTATTTTAATCATACAGGATGTATCACTTTTTCTAACTGTATCATAACTATTGAACTATTTTTTAAAACTTTATTGCATTTGACTAACAATTTTTTTACAACCCATAAGGCTAGTATTTGCATCTACCCATGATGCAAATACTAGCTTTATATGGGTAAAGCCAACTGTATGGAACACTCTCATTGACAACTTACCCTCCCTCCTGACCAGAGGAAAAAAATAAGTTGGAAAGAGTGAA